CTCACCTCTCTAGCTTCAACAGCACAAGGTCTGCTTCGACTATCAAGGCACCCCAAAATAGCAGGTCACAAGAGAGTGACAAACATACAAAAGAAGTAGAGGAAAATGACAATAGTAAGGATAAGGAAAGAAAAAGCAGCAGTTCCCTGTTGTAGATCAGGCACAGTTATGAGCGTGACATGAGTCAGCCCATTTACAATTCTACTATACTTGAACGAGAAATGTCCCCCCTTTGGGAATGGCCCAAAGACACTACAGTCAGTGGCACTGCCCCGGGAGGTTACCAGGACTCCGTAGAAATGACACATAATGGAGCAACAACAACAACAAACCACACAGTGACTCAACAGCACACCGCTGTACAATGAGTCAACATAACACAGCACACCGCTGTGTACAATGAGTCAACATAACACAGCACTCTTGACTATTTCCCTATCAGACCGTTGACCTTACTGAAACCAAGCCATTTTGACGACCATTTTTTCCCCCTTAGACAGTACTTTAAAAAATAGTTCAGAGAAACTCAAATGTGATATAAATATATGAAAAAGTATTTATATGAATTCCCTCTCAGTCAGATCACAGAAAAGCTATAATCCGAGCATAAAATAGTGGTTTCCGTTTCTGAGGAAGGCAGGGGGAAGATGGGGGCGATATTAAGAATTTGTCGAGCCACAAAGTATGGTTCATAACCATGCCCTTTGTAAAATGTAGCTGGAGGTATGTACTGGTAATGAGTTAGTGAGATGTTGTCTCAGTCTCAGCAATATCCAAGCAACATCACAACCAGGCATGGACAACATCTGCAACATTGTTGTTCATACAACACAGACATAAATAAACAGAAATGATAGAAGGACTGCAAGAAAGTGAGACTTACCAATGGTGCCCTTATACAACGAACAGAACACTGTTCATGAGTACCCTGACCACAACCTTAATTTACACTTCCTGGTTCTGTTAACATCTTGCAAAATACCAATGACGCTGAAAAATCTGGTGAAAAAGCTTCAATCAAAATTCACAACAAAGAGAGACTCTGTGAATCCACACTGGAACTTCTAGGCCAGCACGAAGAGTAGGCTAGCAACGCAGTTACAAATATACTTTTCCGTAATGATGCTATGCTTGTTTTCATTACTTTGAATCAATTACATTACATTAATTTTTCTTTTTTAAGTTTGTGATTGAAGAATTTGATATCGGGAAGCAACAACTGTCTTTTTAGATTCAGAGCTTCGTTTTTGTCCTCACTGAAGCCTTGATATTGAGTGATCACAAGAAAGATCTCTCTTGCCTCCTTCAGTTTGTAAATAAAGATTCCAGTGTTTAGTGTACAGTGTAGATGAGATACATGGTTTACAAAAGAGTTGCTATTTCACTTAACATTGCTGCCAGACTGAACCCTCACCCCCCCTTCTCCCCAACCCTTATTTATATCTTACATAGTACAAAAATTGTAATATTTAAATATCCACAGCAGCACACTGACTGACGACAAAAAGGAACAGAAATTTACATATACAGCAAATGCAGGGTGGACAAAAAATAAGAACTACATGTACACAAACAGTGGCTTTATGCCAGGGGAAGGAAACCAAGTTTAGTTCAGCTTTAATCTGGATTGAAATAAAAATGATTGAACATTATTTTATGCCTCTTCAACACAATTTTAGATCATTTTGGAGGCTGAATGGGATACAGCACCCCAGTAGATAGATGGAGATACAGTGTAAACCTGCTCAAATGGCCACCTGTATAAGACAAACACCTGCACAAACTGCCACTCCCAACATGTCCTTCCTTGCGGGTTTTTTTCCACATTATAATAATAATGTGTAAGACATCTACTCGTCTTTTCTCCATGAAGTTAGGTGCCTGTCTTGGACAATTTTGACCGTACTTAATTACTTCCCAAGTTGGGAATCCAACACATGTCTTTTACAGGCAACAGTGAAGAGTCATACCAATACACCGGTACAAAGGCTGACAACTCCATTACCAAAAATAGGAGTTTTTCCTCAGAATTCTCCCTAAAAATATGAAATAAGGACAGAAATCGAATACTTCAGAACCCCATTAGATTAAGATTATGTAACAAACTGACCGAGCATAAAGAATAGTGTATTTTCAGGGCACTTACGGTAAGTCGCTGTAATATTGCAAATAAAAGTGGGGGTTTCTTAAACTTCATTTATATTAAGTCACTCACAACCTGACCTGACGGAAACGTAAATCAAGACAAAACAATGCAAATCTGATCAAGCTAAAAAATTGGTTACCAAAGTACTTGGCAGGTCTACATTGCTATCATTTGTACATGTTTATGTTTCTACGAAACACTTCTAACTATTGACATGTTAGTATTTAGATCTGCTGCTACCATCAATACACACACAACAGCATTAAAACAGGTAACAAATAGATGACAAAAGGATAGGGTTCATCAGAATCAACACTATCTACAACCGTCATCAATAACAGAGGAAATGTATGAAAGGGGCCGGCAGGCCTAACCAGTTTTGTATTTTTAATCTAGTACAGTGGATACAATCTGAAGTCTTTGTTGTTTTTTTAAACCCTACAGCATCCGTCTGCAATCTAATCTTTACAAACTACAGCTGAAAACAATAAATGATAATACACATTCCAACCAAAATTGGTTCCAGCAAACATATGCTATTAGCTGGTTTTGACTGTGAAATGCTTCAATACTCCAAATGCAAAAGTATGGGAGATATCAGAAGTGTTATTCTTCTAAGCATGTAACTTTTTTTCTGGTCACACTTGAAGGTGAACAACTTCATCTCAGGAAATAGGAAGGTGCACAACATTGAATTAAAAAAAACATCAAACCGCTACAGTTAACGAGTAGGACCCAAGTTGCCAGTGATTACCAAAAAGATCGGGCTATTGATCGCACCTGTATATAAGCCACACCCACTAGATTTTTAAAAATCTTAACTTTTTTTCACAAACAAGCTGCACTGGTTTATAAGCAGCAGCAGAGTATACAACACAGATATATGTACATCACATTTGTTCAGTGTCACCATTGTCCAGTCGGCTGAATCCACTGAAATCTCCTTCTACGATGTTGGAGATGAAGAGATCAAGTAGTGTTAGAGAAAATATGTAAAATTTTTAGCTAAGAATAGACGAGGGGAAGATTCTCCAGCAATCGGGAAAATCTGCAAATAAGCCACGAGGAAAAACGTTCATACTTAGAGCCCAAACTTAATGCTACTGTACAAATTCACATGCCAACTGAATATGAAATCAGTCCAGATTTGGGAAAATTATGACTTTTTGGACAACAAAGACTTGTTACCTTGCTACAGCCATAGTTTTAGGGAAAGTAACATGCTCGAAAAATGCACCAACACTTGGAAGCTTATAAACCAATCACAGACAATATATCTTATGCCATAGTTATTTTAGTTTAAAAGAAACAACTGTGCCATAAAAACGGTAATGCTAGATACAAAAACAAGGGATAACAGAAGGGTGGGAAACAAACAAGATGTGTACCAGCTGCTCACAAACCATCCACTCACATAAAGAACAAACTCTCACATCTACAAAGAGCAGTCTCTTCTTAGCCAGAAGTCAAGCATATTATAATAAGAGTATTCAGTTCCCCTAAAGCAAGAAAGCTGCAGCACCCACATTGTTCTTATGGTTCTGACTACTTGGTTGTAAAGCAAGAAAAAAAAGCTTGCTATGTGCCGAGTAGTCCAGTCATTTGCTATATATTAGTTGTACATTGGTGGCCTTATGCTGTATGGCAGCTATTTTTGAAAAAGCAGGATAAATAATGACCCAGCACTGTTTTATACAAAAAGAAAATGTTTAAGTCTATAAAGAAGAAGGGTGGTCGTGAGAAAGGAGTTACAATAAGGGGGAGAGAATAACATAACAGTGAGTTCCATTTCATGAAGTGAGGCAACAAACTTAAGAAACAGTTTTCGTAACATAAACATTTGCAATAAAATCTCAAAGCAAATTAATTTCATGTTTCAATTAAAATAAACAACAGATCCTCAAAATTTACAAACATATTTTTCATAACTATGAACAGTAAAAAGAAAAAATATATAAATAGGCCTATTTTACCAATAAAAATTTGACTAAATGTCTCACATCTGTTGTACTATACAGAAAAAAAACTTAATGGAACCACTGAAATGACCTAAATAGATGAAGAACAAAGCTTTTTGACATCCTCAATGCTACGTACGAAATCACGGACAATGAAAATATAAAATCACAGTACAGATCCAGATCTCAATGCTGATATCAAACAGTACATTGTTAAAAAATCAATACGAAAAAACAACAGTACATTTAACTGAACAAAAAAAAGCAATTAGCAGAGTGTTAGTTTTACAAAGAGTTTTACGGCACTTGCGACACAAGTAGGTCATATAGGTGCCCAAATTAGAGATGCTACAAGAGAGTTGCATACAAAGATAAAGAGAAGAGATAAGGACAATAGATATTTGATAGGTAAGAAGGAACAAACCACACCAGAGCATCTGCCAATCACCCACATATCAGCATTGAAATAGAAACTGTCCATAACAATTTTGTATGACCATTCTTACCGATCTTTGCCATGGGCTGCTGGTCAAAGGACAACACACATAACAAGGAGAAAGCAGCAATGCTTCACCACAGCTTCAAGTTATTGCAAGTGCAGGTGCCCGCTGATGACAAAGCAGCTGCGTTATCTCAAGAAAAAAGGGTATATTTTCTTGAACAACCCCATAGCACATAGGTAAATAAGCAGAGTAACATGTCTGACAAATAAATGTTTCAATATTGTAACAAAAAGCACCATAAGCAACATAAATTTGCAACCATTTATGAAAACATTTCGAGTACACAATCATTAAAAACAATCAATATGAAAAAAATCTGACATTTTGTTAAGACAGTCATCATCCTATGTTGCATTGGCCTATGACACACAGGCAATAAATAACACAAATAACTTTCTTTTTCTCCCATGGTAGATTTCAACAATCTTTGTCAGTATTTTACGAATGACCTTCTTGACAATTTACTATAATAGCAACAGCATCAAGTCTAACAGTGCTATCTCTTATTCACTTCACATTATTCTCCATCTCATTTTCTGCAAAACAAAAGTAGCTTGTATGTCAGTAAACTGAAGTCACTTTCGAAACACATTTGGAATGTTGAGTTAAGTTGGAACAAAAAAATCAAATAACTCCTTCAACAACTATTTGAAAGATTAAAATATCCTTTCTCCGTATAAAATCATATTTCAATATGAAACTTTTTTCTCTACACCGCAATAACTTTCAAAAGAGAATCAAACACTGAATTGACACAACAAGAGAGTAGAGATGTGTCCATTTGACCGAACTATTCAATATTCACAATTTTTGCGCAATTCACAGCTATCTGAAGTGTGGCAGAGTCATTCAAATGTAACGTGATTTTTTACAGGCATTCTTATTTATCTCAATCCATTGTAAAATAAGAGCATATTATACCTAAAATAATTGAGGTAAATCCAGCAATACTTTGTACTTGACACTTGAAGCCCAACAAATGTGTATCCAAGAAATCAAGAGTAGGCTGTAGCAACAAGCTCCTCTTTCCCTATTCGAAATTCCAAGCATTATGAAAGGTGACATGACATCATCATATTGCACTGTGTGTGCACCCGTACAACTTGCACTCTGTGGATAGCACTGTGAATAGTTAGTAAATATTGAACAGTGGAGGATAGGGATAGATTTTTATATTTTAACACAGTATTCAAATAACATGAATAGTGACTCTGTGCTTCGAAGCTTCAATGAAGCTTTTTTTCCCTCCTCAACATCGTAGAGCATGACAACTGAGAAGCTTAAGGTTAGTTATGTTACAAATTGAGGGGGAGAACATTCAAGAACGAAGAACTTCATGATACAAGGGAGATAATCACATTTCATTTAACACATTTTTAAAGGTTAATTACAAGGGGTAGGTGGGATTCACTATAGGTACACTAAACAACATAGATCTCCCACATTGTCTGAAAGTTAAAAAATATTGGAATGGTGGTAAATGGAGCAGAAAATAAAACTTGTTAAAAGTCACAACCTCGGTTGATATAACCAATATGCTTTTAAAAAAAAAAAAAAAAAAAAAAAAAGAGGATTTCTAAAACAGTAATGTGTTCAGGGGTCTGATTAAAACAGCAGAGCCACTATTCACTTGTGGAATAAAATTTCTCTTTGTTTATTTGAACTGAGATGTAGTGCACCAACGTTGTGATTGTCAGATTAGAATCTAGATAGAAGTAGAAACAACAGCAGCACAGTAAAATTATCTGCTTCGACAACAGAAAGAATACATAACGTATAATGTGCTCTGACCAATTCACCTGCCCAAAGAGAGAAGGCCAAGATTTTATGCCTAGATATCAAACAGGAATGATCATTATTCCTCTTTTGTTTTCAAATTGAAAAATTCAACAATCTCAAACTCACATGTTTGACAAAAGGTGAAAAAAAAAAAAAACTTCAAAAAGATTGAACAATCAACAAGGCACAGACCAAAAGCCAAAAGTGACAGTGTACATAAAAACAACAACTGACAAATATATATTAACTCAAAGAGGGTTTTTTTTGCTCTACTCAGGATCATATTTTGATTAGTCAGCTATTTTTCTGACAACCTGCAGCAAAGGGCACAAGACAAGAGACTAGTGGACAAGTGGAAGACATAAATAGACTTGAGATCAGACTAACACTGGACATCTTGTAATACACTGTACAAAAGAGGATTAAAAAAACATCCCACTCCACATACATCACACATTATGCTGGGAACAGAGTAATGTTCCAGATACCTAATTCTTCCCAGTGCAGAGGTTCAAGTTTTGATGGGCGAGATTGCAAAAGTATTAGGAAGGGTAACAATGGACTGAAGAGGACTACATGTACTTGGATAGAAACTTGAGAACCTGTTTTCCTTCCATTTATCATTATCATCACTGCATCAAGGCATAGGCCACAAACAAACACTTTCCATATCCTGGACTAGCCCCTTGGTATTATTCCATGTCTTCCCACTTTTCTTTTCTCCCATATACAAAGAAGCCAAACGACTCCGTACTGACGGTAACAGATAGGATTACGAAAGAACAAAAAGTCAGAGGCAATGAACAGGAGGAGCACCTTCTTCTGGGAGGGTAATCAGCCTCAGAGGACAGCACATCTCAATTGCTTGGTGAAGTCAGGGTGTAATCTAAACTGAGTAAAGTTGTAGTCAACAGTGTGTCAACTCAATTATTACGTTTCTCAAGGAATGGCCTAGGAAAACCAAAAGTTGAAGAAAAAGCCCATATCAGAGCAGCCGCCAACCACGTATGTCACAATCTGTACTTTTTAAACAGTTGTTCATTACAGTACATGCAGTGAAATGGATGAACTCACACCCAGCAGAGAGTAACATAATTATACTGGCCAACAAACCTCATGACAGAAAGTGATGACATCTTGGAAAGAGATACAAGTATCAACAGATGATTCGAAACTCCTAATTCAAACAAGATATGTAAGAAAAACTTAAGACCGACACTGCAAAGAGAAGAACTTACAGATCAGACAAAATGCATAAAACTGCAGTTCTGAGACAGAAAAAAAAATCTGTGTAGTATCCACCCCATGTTGGCCCCACATCCTAGACAGAATCAATTTCTACTGTAAGTTTATCTTTTGTCTTTGTACACACGACATGCAACAATTAAAATTATTGCAATTGTAATTGTAAAATGTCCCGAGGTATATGCCCGAGTTGTGTCTAGGCATAAAAATATCTGTAAAAAAATAACTGTAACTGTAAATAACTATATATTATGTTTCTACGAGTATGAATAAAGTTATCTCTTCACTGTTTTTGTTCAGTGTAAAGAATAAGGGAACATACATAAAAGTAACAAAATGCGTGATGTGACAACACTACTCTCACACAGTGAGGGAATATATCAACCCACAAAAGTGACAATACAGTTCACAACTTGCTATTGTACAACAGTTTATATTTACAGATAAACTCAGAACTGAAAGTGTGAGTTAGGCAAAAGACATATGACACAGCAGCTGTATAGTGGTCGTCAAGGTGACAGAAATGAGTTACTTTCTCATTTAAATAGCGATGGGAAAACCTTTCATGGGTTGCCAGTGACAGCCTCCCAGGGCAAAGTTATGTGGCATCATGAATATCAAAACCTAGTGATTCATCAGTATGTAGAGGCAGTAGACCATGGGTGCAACACTTGCAGATTCTCACTCTCAGCATCATTCACACAAACAGAATGAGGGAAAGAGGGAAAAGGGGGGGGGGTGGAGAGGTATGTCACACACGTTACATGCAAAAGCTCAAATCTGGCCCGTCCTCATTCTCCCTTTGACCATGCTGCAAAATGTCTCCCTCACAGCAACAGCAGCGCTGGCACAGGGTTCACTGAGTGCACTGGTCACAGACACCAGCTCTTTCTCCAGGCCAGAGACATACTCTTCATCTGTGCAAAAACAAAAAAATAAAAAAAAATTAAAAAACGAAATATTTTAAAAAGAAGAGAAAATATAATTTTATGTGTGGCAGTGGGGAATTTAAACATCACAGAGAGTCAATCTGAAGGTGGAAAAAAAAATATCACTACAAAAATACTGAGCTTAAGTTTCAGCAAAGAACAGCACATGGACACAGTAACAAGACATCTAGTGCAGGGAAAAAGTAAGACAAATGAACACAAACAACACAGGGGAAATAAAAGAAGGAGTAGGACCTACCAGTGGCACCCTCCATCCACCTGCATAAGAAAACATTTTGATAGTGGTAATATTTAAAAGAAATAGAAGGATTAGGAAACACAGGAGCAACCAGCAACAGTCTGCTGCTGTATATGAGAAATCCCAGTCCACAACCCCATGCATTTGTCAGGAGTATCAGACACTGTGTTCGAGTAAAGAGAAGCATACTGACACAATAACATTAAAAAAAAAGTATTTTAGAGCAGAGAAAAAGTATGACAGATAGACACAAATAAGAGAAGGAAATAAAAGTAGAACAATCTAACAGTGGCATCCTCAAATCACTTGCATATCAGACAGAAGTACATGATGAAAAACAAAAACAACGTATTGCACGTACAGGTAAAGCCTTAAAGTCAAACTTTTCTCACACCTTCAACCCCCCCCCCCACATCCACATGAAAGAAATGAAGTCCACACAAAATATAAAAGACATTATAAAGAGAGACTGAAGCCACAAGAGAAGGAAAGACAGTTTTTACAACAAATCAAGCAAGGCACATTTACATAATAACAGTCATTTTGTGAACGGAAAAATCAAGGGAAAGATTTAGTTTTTGCAAAAGTTTTACAACACTTGCAACGTAATTAGGTCATATAAACGTGCCAAAGATTAGAGGTGTTACATGAGAGTAACAAACACACAAAAAAACAAGGAGAGATAAGGACTATAGCTGTATGACAGAGAAGTAGGAGCAAACTACACCAGAGCACCCCCCAACCACCCATCAATAGAGACAGTCAGATGCCACAGAGGTAAAGAAAAGAAGGAGAATTTTCCAGACTGGCCCCTTTCAACCATCTGTAGAAGGAGAGTACAAGTGACTTACCCGCTGCGATGGGCGAGAGCTGTGTGTCTCTGACCACACTGGCCAGTACTTCTCCCACCAGGAAAAACATCTTCACGTGGAGTTTTGAAGTGAGACTCTGGACCAGCACCTCCAGGCTCTTACGGACAAGGTCAAAGGCCAACATCCTGGGGAACAAACACACGCACCAAAAATGTATATAATTTTCTAAATAATATTTGTGAGTTATAAGGACGCAAAATAACACAATGACCCTTAAACATCACAGGGTAAAAGTCATACCACAATGTGAGAAAAGAGAATTAGTTTGACAAAAGAGAAGCACATTGACAAAATAAAAGTCGTTTGGAGGAAGATTAAAGTTAGGTATGCAAAGAGAAAAAAAAAATAGAGGGGAAGAAATGACATTTGACCAAAGAGTGCCACCCTCCACCCACACTAGTTTTTGGGTTAAACATAAGTTAATTAACCCAATGATGGTAAACTGTTGGTGGGAATAGGGCCATACCACAAACAGAAATATGGATGAAAAGTATCTTCTTATCGCTTTCCACTTTACCACATATTCTGGCCTAGAAAATGAACATTTTAGGGCGAAGTAGATTATTAAGTCACACAAAAAAAGTATAGAAAGCATCTAATTTTAAAGTAATTTCACTTGTGGATAGAGAAAACAAAAATGAGGGTCTAATTGGTATTTAAATGAAAATTCAAAATGGCTAGTCTAGGCAAAGGGATTTGCATTCAAAGGGAAGCTCATATATCAAAGGATAAAGCATTTGAAAGTGTCAAACGCAATGCAAAGGAAAGCAGTATTGCTGTAGCAGTATCAAAAACTATTTTATAAACAACTAATCCCAGGGTAATTTCTCTTTCTGAGCAGGGCAAAGTTTGTAGATATGTGAGGCATCATGTTTAAATCAGGTACTCGTCAAATAATCAAATAGAAGAAAGCGGCATGTTTCCACTTGTTTGGCAATTTTTAATCAACGTTTTGTTTTTTGATTCATCACTTTCTATGTCTATTTAAAAACTTATTTACGTGTGGATTTTACTGAAAAACATGATTAAAGGTTCATATGTAAATGTAAGTAAATGTAAATTTGCTGTTTCCAAGGACTCTTAAGCTTTGGAAGTCACTAAACTTTGGTGGCCATTTTCTCGATAACTTTACCATTGATCCCCACCTCCTTCAATCAGACATATTCAATATACAAGTGTATGCTTTTCACAAAAAACAAGATAAATGAACGAGCTTTATTTAAGATGATTAATAACTCCTTATGACCAAAAATTGACGAGCGCCTGATGCCACCACGATGTGACACATGTGTGACAACTTGAGCATCTCTTGCATCATCAGCTGTGGCCACGACTCACTTGTATCTGACGGCATCGATGACACTGATGACAGTGGCGGGATCCGTGTCCATCAGAGTTGTCTCCTCCTTGTACTGACTGCGGGCAAACTGCAGCACCCCAGGTGGGATGCCAGGGCGGGCCAGGAGCTCAAACAGGGGCAAGTCAATCAGTCTCAATGCCTGGGGGTCACGACCTCTCACAGAAGCCGAGCATAGGTGACACGTTACCTGGGGAAATGGGAAATAGAATTAATTTACGGGGGGGGGGGGGGGGGGGGAGGGGGTGGGCGCGGTTAGCATAGCATACATTCAGTCAGCACAGCAGCATCTACTTTTTTCAAAGCAAAGTAAATTAGGAAAAAAGCAAGATGTTTTGATAAGTGCTTTATGGCACTTGCAACACAATTAGGTCATATAAGTGCCAAGGTATAAAAGTGTTACAAGACAGTAACAAACACACAAAAGGAGAAGAGATGAGGACGATAGATGTTTGATTGGAAAGAAAGAGCAAACCACACCAGAGCACCCGTCAACCATCCACAAGAGAAAAAGCAAAAACTGAAAAGATACTGAAGCAGACCACACCACTCTACTCACTGACAATGTGCATCTAAAATTAAAGCACTTTCCTGACCAGATCTTTAATTCAAATATTTAAAAACCTCTTCACAGCCTACCCTGAGATTGTATAAACTACTTGATACCATTATTGAAGAGTTCTGGCAGTGAAGGGATTAAAAGCTGTGAATGATCAACTGCTTGACAGAGAGGAGAAAAACTAAATGATTTCATGGAGATGGCCTCATAGCTGTTAAAATCCAAAGATGAGGTGGTATGAACTTACACTACATGTATACCAAAACAACCCTGACTCTGATATTCAGGACAGCTGAGTAATAGATCAAATGACTACCGCTATACTTTGTCTTGAAAAGATGGGTGGGGGAGTAACAGGCTTACCACATGTAGAATACAGGCATGAACTTCAAAAGTATCAACCAAGGAACAAAATATTGGGATACCTTCAAAATGAGTAACTTACAGGCACTGCTCACTTGGACTAATCATAATACAGTGGAGTCCACTAAAACTGAAATCGGCTGAATAATTTCTGTTCAGCTACATTTTTGTTTCAGAGAAGTTGCTTGAAAAGAAAGAAAAAAATCAGAGACTTTATTTTATTTCAGTTTATTACTGTTTTCAAATTAACCATGTTCAGGGTGGCATCCGTGGCCTAGTGGTTAGGTTCCCAGACTCGCAACCATAAGGTCGTGGGTTCAAATCCCATCTGGGACCTGACGTTGTGTCCTTAGGAAAGGCATTTTACACGAATTTTCCTCACTTTACCCAGGTGGGAATGGGTACCCAGCTATAGACAATGAAAGATCTTGTAAGTTTGCTAGTGTTTGAGTGCTTAATCAGCTGCTTGCATTTTATGCTTCCCGGGAAGCTGAGAATGTTTCTGAGTGTCCTATGGTCTGCTGGGGTAATAATATATAGTGTAAAGAGCATGATAGAGCTTGCTGTAGAGCAGGATTGTGCGCTATACAAATGCTATTTATTATTATTAAGAGGACTTTATTGTACATATAACATGACAGAAATACTAAAAATAAGTAGAAAGAGCACACCATATTACAGCACCCTTAATCACCTGCACAGTAAAAAAAAAAACTCAAGAGAAAGAGGGAAGACAACACAAAAATACCAGCAGATCTCATCCAAAAAAGGACCAATACAATTTCGACAGAAATCTTAAGGGCACCTGAGTAAGTCTTCACTGATGCCTCAAAGACATGAGAACATAGACATCTGAACAGAGGTCAAACATCATACTCAGAAGACATTCAATAATCTCAAAATCCAAAACAGATTCCCTGTTTAAGAATTAATATGGTGAGCAAAGCTATGACAAAAGCCACTGAGAAGAAAAGAAAAACAGATATCAATCCTCCAAGGTGCATTTCAACCTCAACCACACGTGGAGGATAACCAAATCAAAGAAACTTATCCCAAGTAGTAGAGAGCAATGTCCTGCAGCCAGTGTTATCATTGAAAAACTAAGGGAAGCGTTATCATTTCAAATTTCAGTTCCACATATTGCACTCGACAAACCCACATTAATGCCCTAGCCTTACCTGAATACTCATCAGTCGTCTCATAAAGTTTTCATCAGCAGCAGAGTAACGGAAATCAGTCAGATCAACGCATGGAGACTGTGATGACCCAGATAAAGATCCAGGTGATGAAGAATCGAATGACCCACAAACAGACGACGAATTTTGATTCACATTTTTCACTTCAGAATGTCTACCATCGTGACCGTCAGAACAACTTTCATTAGATACGTTGCCATTTGTCTCATCTGGCGAGTGGAACCCTGGCTCAGGTTCACTGTCGGATGGTGTGTTAATGCACACGGGAATAGCACCGATAGGTCGGCGAGCGGGTTTTGCTGGAGGAACGGAGTTGTCTAGCGCTGATGATGACGTGTTCACTGGCTGAATTATTTCGCCGTCGCTGCTGTCCACAGAGGAGAAATTTGCAGGGTAAATCAAACTCCGGGACAAAATCTGTATATCAGGGCTCTCCACCCCGTTGCTGTTGTCTGGAGGATGAGGATCTGGTAACTGCCCAGGGGTTGGTGAATACGCCTCAGACGATGACGATGTAAACGAATCGTGTCCTTGTAAATCATTTTCATCGATGAAAGAAACTCGGCGGTCTGGTGTTTTCAGATTTTCAAACGATCGAGCTTTCTTTAGAATTCCATTCGAACCACCATTTTCATCCTCATAAAGTGAATCCTTTTCTAAACTTCCACCGTGCTCGCCATCTGTATCCTTGGAATCTGCATCCTCGGCTCCATTGCAAATGCTAGTTGAGGCATCGTCATCCTCAACCTCATCGTGAAAGTTCACAACTGGGCGTTCCATATCAGGCTGAGATTCCCAGATTTTGCACTGACGCCTAAGAAAAGGATAAATAAAACAAATGTTACATTTTGGCTTGAAATGAGAGACCATGAAAAGTGCTTTTAAAATATATATCCATGGCTGGGTACTAACCCCAAATTGAGTAATAGTGTTTGTCAGTCTTGCATCCAGTCATCAATATACAAGCACAATAAATGGAATAATACAGTAACAGAGGGCTGAGATTTTAAAAAATTCTCTTCAGTGAACACTGTACCCTTTTTCTTATCTGGTCTAAGAGTGAAATGTTACTTGAAATTCTCTTACGACAAAACTGTTTTCGTATTCTTGACAAACAACCTTTTTAAATTTGAAAGTAAAGAGAGTAAAAATATTTGATTAATACACCAGAAGAACTGCTAGCTTATATTATAGTTACTACAGCTACTACACTAGTTGTAATTATTCGCCATCTTAAAAAAAAGAGAGCAAACATAACAGAGAACTTTATACAAAGCTTAAGTATATCTGAGAAAACATTTATGAAAAAAACTTATTACAAGTTAAAGTATCCAGGACTTCCGAGGGCATAATAAATTTAAAAAGAAAAAAAAGTAGAACTGTGTGGCTAAACTCATGAGTCACACTTGAAAACATGCTACAATGGACACTGGTTTTTTTTTTACGAATGAGGAATACAAATTGTTTGTTCCATTAACTGAGAAGTTTAGGACAAGACATCAGCCATCTGTTTAGAAGAAAGAAACTGCTCAAGGATGTAACGGACATTCTTCTGATGTCTCACTATAACTGAAGTACCAGAGAGTACCTGTACAACAACAAAAGACTCTTACAAAAAGTGGCATACTCTGTCTAATCAACTCTTGTCTGTTGGACTTTAAAAAACCAATAGACCATTACTACTTTGATCATTAAGTGAAGAGAAAAAGACAAACATGAAAGTGATGACAACAATGTAAGACCCACAAGCACGGTCATCCAAATGCTGTGTGGATTCATACTCAAAGTGGTAACTCGTTTACATGTGAATAATCCTGACTAATGAAAAAAACCAAACTCAAACATTTTTCAAAATAGTTGTGAGGAGATCTTGTTGATATTCTCTCTAAATGTACACACTATGCAAATAGTTTCACAGTCATCATCAGAGTATTCTGCAATCCAAAGGTAGAGCAACCTAACTGCACATTTCGTAATTTTGAAACAAAAAAACAAAACCCCCTCCCAAAAAAACTTTTCGACACATAACCTGAATGTTCCTAAACATGATTGAGCAGAAATGTAGATACGTCACTCTGCCATTCACGATGGAATAGAGATTAGTCACAAAGGCAGCTTAACCACTTTGAAACCTACTATTATGACTGCAGATACAATATCCTGCCTTTGACCAAAGAAAATTCAGTGTAACAAACCAATAAAACTAAAAGGTGATCGATCAGATACATCGCTATGCCTTGCTTGGAGGGCAGTATTATGCAGATGAAAAAAACACACCAAATTCAATAGCCCCGTATGTTTTACGAATTCTTTTGCCTTTCTGTTATTGAATTCTCATACTGAACTGAGTTGAGAAGTAGTTTAAACTGTAATGATATTGTCATGGCTACTGTTTGCGAGGAAGAGCTCACAAAAATAGCAGTGTTGAAAAGAAGCATAAGAGACAGATCATACCAGATTAGCTCAAAGAGATGAGCTTCCTACACTGTCACTCAGTCACTGTGACACTTAGCACAATAATATAAAATGTGCACATCTTTCCGGGCGACCCACCTTAACTGATCCATCTTGGCACATTCAAAGAGAAACCTGCGGCCATCCATCTTGACTGTGAGATCAGCACAGTACACAGCGAGCGCGTCCCGCACCAGGGCAAGCGTGTTGTGGTACAGGTACTCCAGCACGCTCATCACCAGTGAGATGTAGGTGCGCAGATCTGGGTAAGGGGAATCTGTCAATAAAATTATCATAATTGCTCTTTACCTCCATTGCCATAATTGAGATGATTTGGAGTATACATATCCAGTTGCACCTGTTCAAGGTGACCACCCATTGTCGAGGAGAAAAGTGGTCCTTTTGAAAAGTGCAATCACAAAACAGAAAAAAATTGTTGTTCGTTTTGGTAAGGTTTTACAGCGCTCGCAACTGCATAAGGTCATATGAGCGCCAAAGGGAGGATGTCAACAGAGAAGTCTAAACGGGGAATCAGGCTTACTCTGCTCACCTAACTAGCCTCAACAGCATAAAGTCTACTTCGGATATCAAAGCACCCCGGATATAGCAGTTCACAGTGAGTGACAAACATACAAAAGAAGTAGAGGAATAATGACGATAGTAAGGTTAAGGATGAAGAAAGAAAAAGCAGCAGTTCCCCCTAAGTTGTTATGGCAGAGTATGAGCATGACATTGGTAAATCAGCCCATTTACAATTCTACTGTGCATAAGAACATGTTAATATCCCCCTTTTTCAGAACAAACAATGATAGAACATTAGTGCTATCTTATGATATATATGAGACAAATTAATAATTCTAAGATGTTTATTTGGTTTAAAGACAAAAGCAACAAAATCAACTGCATGTACCAGTTCTCCTGTTTTATCCATGGTAAGATCAAGCACCTAGTCTTCTTTGATGAAGATGAAACCAATCAGTAAATAACACATTGAGCCTTTGCTCAGGATTCAAGTACTCACTCAAGTATTCTAAATTTACATGGAATGAGACTCGAGTCCAAAATACTGGACTTGCACATCCCAAAATGAACACTAATACTAATACCCATCTGACCTTTTATCTACACATCAAAGGTATTGTATGTCCAGCAACATATGGGCTCACTGGGAGAGACTACACACAGAAAAATAACACAACTCATTAAGACTCGACTCTCAACATCTGATGCCTCTTCCAAAACAAAATGGGATGTTAACAAGGATAAAATAATGATAACAAGAAGATATGAACACTATCCTCCTCTCTCCCTAAAATATGATACAACTTAGTGTGGTTCCCCCCCTCCCCCTGACTTTGAACATCTGGGAGCTTCTCACCCATGGGAATATTCCAGTCGTTTGTTGTGTTTGCTCTAGACTAGTTTCGCTTTTTCTGGAGTAATGACAGATGCGACATGCAAGGAAGAGTGGGGGTGTGGTACGATGTATACATTCTATAAGATATAATATAATATAATATAATATAATATTTAATATAAGATATAATATAATAAGATATAATATAATAAGATATAATATAATAAGATATAATATAATAAGATATAATATAAGATACATCTTTATTATCCAGACCCTGGCACATTCGTTTGGTGATTCACCACGTGTACACACACACACAAACACACACACACACACACACACGCAGGCTTACAATCACATGCATCATATAAATGAGCAGCAATATAAACAATAATAATCTTAAGCTAGATACACACTCAATGTTATTCTGATGCATGCTCTAAGGTCGTAAGTATACTTATACAAGATGGTTAAGACGGAAGCATTTTGATTGATGATGGTAGAAATGACCTATATCTTTCTTTGTTACAGATCAGAAGCCTAGGTCTTTTACTTCTAACTGATGTTTTTATTTGAGGAAACAACGGATGTTTGTTGTCTAAAAAGATGGAATTAATTTTTTTAGTGCAAGCTGTTATGTACAATTTATCCAAGTAGGGGAATGTAGATGTTGAAATTTTATATGCTTTCCGAATTAGTCGATTTAATTTTTCTTTATCTTGTTGTCTTGTGTTCCCGGCCCATGCTGTTATACAAAAATTGATATTTTCTATGGTTGAATGGTAGAATATGGACATGAACGTTTTATCAACTTTGAAATACTTTAGCTTCCTTAGAAAAAATAGTCTTTTGTTCACTTTTTTATGCAGAAGAGAAGTGTGGACACCCCAGTTGAGTTTGTTGTCTATTGTAACACCCAAATTCTTATAGTCTGACACTTGCTCGATCTTTTCACATTTAATTTCGAATGGCTGCAGGGGCAGTTTCTTTAATCTAAAATCAAAAACAAGTTCTTTTGGGTTTTTTTTCACATTTAAAAGCAGCTTATGATTTTCACACCATTCAGAAAAGTTAGGTACAAAATTCCGGTAAGCGGTTTCGTTATGGTCAGCCTGAATTAGCCCAATTTTGGTTGAATCAGCTGCAAATTTTATCAACTAGATGTTATTGTTGTTTATTTGGCAATCGTTTGTGTATAATGAGAATAAAACTGGTGACAAAACGCACCTTTGAGGGGCCCCTGTATTTGTTGCGATGTATGTTGATGAGAATGTTTTAATTTTACATACTGGGTTCGCTAGTTAAGAAAATTGCCTATCCATGATATTAAATTGACTATGGACTTATAATCTAAAGTGTGTCTACGAAGAAGGTCACAATAACCTCCTCCCTATCAATCAAATTAATACCACAACCGTGCCTCCAGCTGCCAAAAACAACCCCCAAAAAAGAACAAAAACTTCTCAAAACCCCAATAAGAAAGAAAAAACAAGAAAAGAAATAAAACAAAAAACACAAATACCAAAACAGACAACCAAAGCATATATCTCACCAATCATGGAAGCAAATGCCAGGGAATGCAGTGTGGCTGCCAAGTTGGCCAGGGTACGTATGCCAGCTTGGATGACTGTCAAGTTGTTTGTGTGGAGTTTCATGGCCATTGCTACCAGATCTATGCTCGATTCCCTCATGGGGGGCTGATACAGGGAGGCACGGAGGGAGGGGTAGGGGAAGGGGGAATGAGGACAGAGGGATGAGGAGAAAGAGTGGAGAGACAAGGATAGAGGGGATGGAAGGGAGAGAGAGAGAGAGAGAGAGAGAGAGAGAGAGAGAAGAGAGAAAGAGAGAAAAAGAGAGAGAGAGAAATAAGAGGGAGAGAAAGAAAGAATGAAAAAGAGAGAAAGAAAGAAAGAGAGAGAAAGAAAGAGAGAGAAAGAGAGGGAAGGGGTGGGGGCAAGGGGGAAGGAGGAACATTGATAATACTTATTAATTTAATAATCTCATAGCCTTGTCCATTTAAAAAGCATAAATGACTTCTTTTGTTTTAGTATGAGTTTTATGGCACTTGCAACACAATAAGGTCATACAAGTGCCGAAGAGAAGTGTTACAAGAGAGTAACAAACACAAAAAAAGCAGGAGGGATAGAGACGATAGATTTTGATAGGAAAGAAGAAGCAAACCACACCAGAGCAGCTGCCAACCACCCACATAAATGACTTCATTGACTCACATGTCAACCCTCTATACTCAATCATCTCACTTCTGTTTCTCCGCCCCTTTTGCTCTTACACTTTGAAGAGGAGAAAGTCAGCCAAAAAAAAGGAATGAAGTGTGTTCTCACCAGGTGAAACCAAGCCCCAGACATGATCAGGCTGACAGAGAGGGAAGAGTAATTGGAAAACAGTAAAAGAAATTAAGAGAGAGTGAGAGGGAGGAGAAAACTTAAAGAGAGATAGATAAAAGAGATTACACATACGAAGAAAAAAGAGGGAAGCGCATAGAGTTGATAAAATACGCTTTTTTAAAAACCTCATAAAAAGATACTGAGCGTGTGATCACCAGTTTCTGCAACAGAAATTATAAATATATGGCATTATACTATTAGAAATACTACAATCATTCACTACCCAACCCCCACTTCCATACACACACACCCTCCCTCTTCCTCTCACTCTCCTTCAAGGCGCATAATATTTCACATTAAAGGAAATACAATACACAGGTCATTAACATGGAATATGAGGATGATCACAGTTTCTCATTTAAAAAATTGCAAAGTTCATCACAGAGTAGGAAAACCACCCATATTAAATACATCTCCAGACTTATATTCAACATGACTTGCGGTGAGCTAAATTTCCTGAAAACTTTATTTGTTAGCAAAAAGGCAGGCAGATGGGTAATTAAGACACAAGAAATAAAGAGGAAATTGTCAAAGATAGTCACCCATTGCCAAGGAGAAAAGTGGTTCTCTTAGAAAGGCTGACATCCTACACAGTGCCACTTTAATGTAAAAAGATATGAAAAGGAGGAAATGAGAAGTGCCCATTTGTACAGGTGATTGTCTTATACAGGTGGTTGTTTTATACAGATGGTTGTCTTACACAGGTGGTTGTCTGATACAGGTGATTGTCTTTTCAAGGTGATTGTCTAAAACAGGCAGTTGTCTTATACAGGCAGTTGTCTTATGCAGGTGATTGTCTTATACAGGTGATTGTTGTATGATACAGTCGAACCTGCCTTGAAGGCCATCTGTACAAACGGCCACTTTCCATTTCCCCCCCTTGCGTTTTTTCTATATAATTTAACTGTGTAAAACGGGCACCTGTCCAACGCGGCCGCAGCCACAATATTTTAACACACAACCCCTATCACACTAAGCAATAATACCTGTCTTAGACGGCCACCTGAGTGACTTCATTACGTTTTGTCATAAATTGTGCATGGCCCCTGGCCTTATGGGCGAGCTGTCATAATTCAATACCCTGTCGTTGTTGTTAGGTAGTCCCTCCAACCGATCATGTTGCGTAGGCTCATCCCACTGTTGACCAATAGGTACCAATTTTCAGCTGCTGGTGAGGTAAGCGTGTGATCCCTCATAACTCATAAGCCCCGCTCAGAAATCATACACAAATCATAAGTGAGATGAGTGGTCACTGTTTACCCAGTCTGTAATAAAGTAGCAATGGACGTCAACATGAACTAGTGACAGAAGCGTCGCTCGTTCTCCGAGTGGTGGCGACCCAAGAGTTTGTTTTAACAAGGCACTCAATCTTCCTCGTCTGACACATTTCGTTTTATTGTCACCCTTGCGCAAAATCAGCAACAAATAAAAATTACAAATAAAATACAAACCAACAACAATAATGTGGCTACTTTCGATTGGGACCTCAGATGGGAATGGTTTGTTTTCTTCATCTCGATCAGTCCTGCCTAAGACGGCCACCTGTCTTATACGGCCACTTTTCTCCTTGACAATGGGTGGCCGTCTTACACAGGTTTGACTGTACAGGTGGCTGTTAGAGAAGGTTTGACTGTATATTTGGTCGCAATAGCCCTACAACCTCCTATTACTATTACACTGACTGACCTTCTCCAGAACACTGGGCATGAAGGTGGCCATCTTGGCAAGAATGTCCAGGCAGTTGTTCTGCACCGTCTCGTCGTCCTTGTAGACGGCCATGCTGCCCAGAACAGCGGCCGTCGTCTGGCTGGCCACCATGGTCATCACGTTGCCTGGTATGTGGCTCAGGGCGCGCAGCAGTTGGAGGCACATCAGCACTAAGAAGGCCGGGTCCTGCCAGGGGGAAATTGTGTGAAACAATGATGGGAGAGAGGGAGAGAAAGAGCGAGGGGAGAGAGAGCGTGTGTGTGTGTGTGTGTGTGTGTGTGCGTGTGTGTGTGTGAGAGAGAGAAAGAGAGAGAGCGAGCGAAAGAGAGAGGGGAGGGGGGCAAAGGGGTCAGAGAGATAGAGAGACAGAGAGAGAGTGAGAGAGAGAAAGAGAGAGAGA